AGAGGGGCGCGACCAAACCTGCTGGAGCCAGGAAGTGCGAGGAGCGCGGCTCCCACGCCTGTTGCTCCAGCCGCCCACGCGGCACCCTCCCACTCTCGCGCCCGGGTGGGTGGGCGCTGGGGCGCCGGAAGGATTGGGGGTGGGGCCGGCGCCGCGGGGGAGCAGGCAGCCGGCCTGGGGGCGTCGGTTCCCGCGGGCTGCCGAGCCACCTCCGGGCTGCGAGGAGATGTGAGGTTTGGGGGTGGGAGTGTGAACCTCTACCCTCTTTCCATTGGCTTGCCTTCCCTTGGGGGGGTGCCACCGGCAGCGTCCCGGGGTACGGCGGCAGGTGGCGACCGCTTGTCGGGTGCCCGGGCTCTTGGTGAAGGAGAAGGAGAGAAATGGCTGAGGGTGGAAGCCGCGAGCGGTTTGGGGCGCTTCGCAAAGTTCTCCGGCCCGGCGAGCCCGCGGCGTGCCTTGCAGAAGCTGGGGGACACGGCGGCTGGTCCTGCCCGGCTCGGCCTCCAGCCTGCCGGCCGTGGGAAAGGTCTCCAGGAGGCACCGGAAGCCGAGGCGGTCCTGGGGAAAGGGGGTCGAAAGACTCACTTTTTGAGGTATTGGCACCGAGGGTGGGGTGCGGAAGGGACTGGGCAGAGAAGTTACCTGCAATTAACTGAATTCCTACACTTGCTCAGTGTGGACATCTGACTCAGGTCCAAGATGCTCGGCTTTTATCCCGGGCAGACCTGATAATGTCAGCAACAGGCTGTGAGGTTCGGGACCTGCAGTCATACGGCAAAGAGAAAGCTCTAGTGTTTCTTAGGAGAGGACATCTGAACTTTCTCGTGATCTAGGCATAATGCCATCTGTTTGTAAGACCGAGTGCGGGTTGCTACATGGCGCACGTCAGTATTTTGCGTGAGGCTTTGTGATGGTTCAAGGATGCCTTATTTACTGTTCCATGCAGAGGCCCTGGGTGTTTAGTGTCTGTGGGAATGGGGCCTGGGCAGGCACGAATTTAATGCCAAGCATGTGTGCATTTCCCCATGTGGACATGTTGGCACATGGTGGTGGGAAATTGATGTTTGTTTCCTTGTCACTACATTCGGATGCAACAAAACCCAAGTACACAAGGGGACCCCCAGAGGAAGAAAGATTAGTAGCTTGTTCCTTTTTACTGTTGAAGATTCCTGGGGAAAAGATTTCAGGAAAGCATCCTGGCCCGCCTGGGAGTGGCTCTGTGGGAGAGCAGGAATCAGTCGGTGTGCCCCAGGCCTGTACCCTCATGATCCCGAGCTTGTACCTTGTCAGTTTCCTGCCAGTTTACCTAAACCTTGCAGGCACAGGAGGACCTGGACCACCTGGACCCTTCGCTGCCCCATTCTGGTCTAAGCCTTGTGACGTAAAATTGTGAAGTTTCCAGAGACTGTCCACCCGGAGTGCTTGGCTGAGGTCATTGAAGGGCAGACCTTGGTGCGGGGACTCTTGTTGCTGCCTTGTGCCTCTGCTCAGGTTGAATAGCCATCCCCAGGACAGACTGCCGCATCACTTTGCCCCCCGTTTGGCCCTCTGCTCCCCAAACAGAAGCTGTTTCACCGGCCGACTTTCCCAGCGGGGCAAGTTGCCCTGTTCCGGGATTGTCTCCCTCTGTCACGTCAGTGCTCACCTGTTTTAAATGTCTCTTCCCCAGCCTCCCCCCACTCCCATCTTTCCCACTGTCAAACTCTTCTGCCAAAAAACAAAAATAGCTTCAGATTTTTCATTTGTAAGGCGTCCACGTCCTAGTAAAACCTTGGCATTTGAGGCATGTGCCGTGCCATTGGCTGAAAATGGGGCCGCACGGTTTGCCTGTTGCAGGCATTCATACCCAGGCTGCTTCTGGAGGTGTTGGTGCCCAACAGGGAGCCCAGGCTGTGCTAAGGCCACAGACAAGCCCTGTTGGGGCAGGCCGTGCCTGCAGGGCAGTTTGGAGGGTATGGCTAGTGTGGTCTTGGGCTGGATTTCTGGTCAAAGACTTTCCCTCCCCTGGCACACCCAGACACACACACACACACACACATTCAGGGTCAGGGTAGGGGGAGCAACTTTTGCCTAGAGATTAAGACTTGAGCCTCTGGAGACAGCCTGGCTCTTGCCTGGTCTTTGGGACCAGGGCCTTTGGGACTATCCTAGATGAATGCCCAGGGCAAAAGTTTTGCCTTGGGGCCAGAGGCTTTTATGATGGATAGAGAAGGTCATTTTTCCTTCCCAGATCTCAGCTATTCATCTGAAAGCAGTTTGTGAAATATCCACAGCCCTTGGAGAAAAGGACATTGGGGTGGGGTGGGGTGGAGAGGGTTAGGTGCCAGCAAGCGAGGCTTGCTGGGTGGCACCAGGCCTGAGGCCATCATCTCAGGGCGTGGAGTTGCTTGAATGGTCCTAACAGGATTCTACAGAGGCCCTCCTGGTTCAGCAGGCTCTCTGCTCTTGGAGTTCCATTTTGGGGTAATGCAGGGATGTTAAGGGTCAGTGGTCCAGAGCCCTGGGAGCGGGAACCTGATCCCGCTGGACCCTCGAGGGGAGTGGCCAGGGTCATGAGTAGACCTAGCCTTTGGTTGCTTGAGCTCTAAGTGATACAAGTTGTGTGCCCTGCCCTGGACACCATTCTCATCAGGAATTTCCAGAACTCCCTTGGTTAAAAGGAGGCTCCATCCCCACAAGAAGGAGCCCGGATTTGCATGGCCAGTTGTCCTCAGAGACCAGAGCCCCAGCCTTCACATCCTGGCACAGTAGAATCACTGATTATTTCAACCAGAGTCCCGTCCACTTCCCGAATTTTACAGATGAGGACTCTGAGATCTGGGGTGATGGCTTGCTTTCACAAGTTCGGGAGCGAATTGGAATTCAGAGGAGCATCAGTATCTGGCTATACCTAGGCCAAGAGAGCTGATGGATGGTCGAGCTGGAAGCCATCCACTCCTGTGCAGCTGATCCTTGACAACACAGAGGTTAAGCTCTCCACCCTGCAGTTGAAAATCGAGGTATAAGCTGCAGTGGCCGAGTGTCCCTGGGTTCCACTTCTGACCTCCAGAACTGTCTGAATAATCCACGAATGCCCAACCCGTGAGTAGAAAGCAGTGTGTATAGAGTTGTGGAGTTCAGACCCCTGGTGTGCGGGTTGTCGTACGTGGCGCTGAGCCACGTCCACGGAGCCTTTCTGGGGCTCAGTTTCCTAACTGGAAACTTGTGGGCAGGAACTTACACATCATAGGATTTCTGTAGCGATAAATGAAATGTTGCTCTAAAAGTGTCTAAAATGGTGCCCGGAGCACTGTCAGTGCTTAATAAATGCCAATTAAATCTGCATTGGAATTACCTGGGGCCAGTGTTTAAACTGTGGGCTTTTCTCGAAAACTTCTCCTCCTAAACATGTGCAGATTCTCCTAGTAACTTAAAAGAAATCAAGTGATAAGGGTAAATTTCTTGAACAAAGGTATAAAATGGCCAGGATGTGTTTCCCAATCTCCTCTCGGGGTATGTGGTTACCCACTGCTGTGGGTGAACGACCCCCCTGCTCCTTCCTCCCTTCCTGTAATCAAGAGCTCATCAGGCCTGTGCTGTTTTTCTCTTCTCCAAGTGGTGACATTTATGGGGAATATCATTGTTATTCCTGTTGTCTTCCATGGCATCTCCCTATAGGAGAGAGCAGAGACCTGTGACTAATCTCCTGAACATGCAGCTGGGGAAACTGAGGCAGAGGTCAGCTCTTCCGAAACCCACCTGAGAGCACACTGCATCAGTTACCTACTCTGGACTCTCTTGCTTCAGTTCTGGCTTGAGGGTTTACTGTCTGTCTGACACGAGATGCCTACCCTTGCAAACCCCTGAAATGCATTAGCAAGCCCTGGAGTTAAGTCGATTGCAAACGGGATTGACAAAATCGGGGTTCCCAATTTAAGCAGCTCCCATGCAGGTGCGGTGCTGCCTCCTGGGTTGTCATGTAAAAACGGGCGCGTCAGTGCCTTTCCCCTTAAGGAGCTTAGTGTGGGATGGGAAAGAGCAGAGTAGCTGTCCCTTGGAACTCCACTTGGAGACAGCCTGGCTTTAAAGCTCTCTGCCTACTTATTACACCCTGTAGTCAATCATTACCACGCCTCATACGTCACCTTCCTCCCTTGAAAAATGGGGACAGTGGTGTCTACCCCCAGGGCCGTCGGTAGGGTCCGTGGAGATGGTATGTGGCTCCTGGGCACTGGGCCTGGCATGCCCTCAGCAAGATCGCCTGCTCTGCTTACAGGGAGACCTGAGAACAGGGTCGACAGGCCACAGCTCATGGTGTGGGGCCAGGCTGCCCCGGTGAGTCCCTGGCCTGCCCCTCTCCAGCTGGCATAGATGCCTGGGTTCCATACTCTTCCTCCTGGAACTGCTGTGGGGTTCGCATGTGTGCACCCTGGGAGAGAGAGAGTGCCTGGCGTCCAGTAAGTGTTCAGTCCTCGTAGCCGCGATTACTGATAAGACTTGTAGAAACTTGTCTGTGAGCCAGGTCAGAGGGTGACACACATGACAGACTGGCAAAGTGCTGAAAGCGCAGAGAAGAAAATGCCATAGAGGGGGCCTCACAGAACGGCGAGGGACTGGTGGGCTTCTAGTCAGAGGGCTTAAGGAGCAGGGTATCCCCAGCAGAAGGAAGACAAGAGTCCCCCACAAAGTCTGTGCACCGGCTGCTCTGATCTGTGGTCTTTGTGCTGGAGGCGAGGATGGGTGCGGGGATCCTGCCCTGGGGTCCGTTTGTGGAAATGCTGGGCCACCAGACCGAAGAGTTTGATTTTGTTGGCTGTGGAGGAAATCCTGCTTTTGGAAGATTACTCTGAGCAGAATGGATTTCTGGGGAACAGGAGAAACAGGGTTAGGGGGTTGGATAAGAGAGAAGCAGGCCAGTGGGAAGGAGGCCTGAGGGAATTGGGGCCTTAATGAGGGCAGGAAGAGCTGTGGTTTCCTTATTTGTACATGCTTTGGGTAGAGCAGGAGGAACACGGCCCAGGTGACAGGCACAAGAAGGCAGCTCCGTGCAAGCCTGCCCGGTTTCCAAGGCAGGTGGAAGAGTCCAGTGGAGGGTTTGGAGCAAGAGGAGGTAGAGACGAAAGTTCTGGAAGAATCGGGAGCCAGGAGAAGGAAGCGGGATCCAAAGAGACAGAGCAGAGCTCCTAAGACACACCTGTGCCTCATTTATTTCAACCTGGAGTCAAACAGTGGGATCTCGGAGGGTCCAGGACTGGTTCTGTGTGATCTCTGTGGGGCCAGTGACAATGAGTGTGTCAACCTGCGCTATTTCCCACTGCTGCTACCTGTGTTTCTGTGCCACCGCATGTCTTCCCGCAGATGGCGTACACTTGGGGATTGCACAGTCCCTTCACTACCGTCTTTAAAAAGCCAGATTTGGGAAGGTAAATCTGTTTTCCAGAGCCAGAAATAATTCCCCATGACCTTCATGGTTCCCTCCATCCCTGCAGGTGACGGCAGGTGTGTTCAGAGTGTAGTGTGGAGGGAGAGCTGTAGGTGAAGCCACGGGGTGCCCAGTTCTGGGGGAGTTTCCAAGGGAAGAGTGGGGCCAGGTCAAAGCGGCATTGTGTAGCCCAAGGGAGCTACAGCTGGTGGGCAGATGGAGGCGGGAGCCAAGGAGTTGGAGACGGCAGGGAGTGTGCATAAGTGTGCCTCTGGGAGGGAGTGGGACACACCTGGAGGTAGGTAACCGAGAACCCAACAGTCCTTTGGGGGGGACTCTTGGCGGACAGGGGGCCCGCCCTCAGCTCACAGCCTCGCCCACCTCTGTCTGTCATGCCTCTGAGGGGTGCGATGGGACTCTAGTCACCTGGTATCTTAGAGAGCAGCATTGCTCCGTGGTCCTTGGAGACAGAAGTCCACCCGTCACGCGGTCTACTGCAGTTACCTGCCTCCCAAAGAATTTGGGGGAAGTTGGGAGGAGTAGAAAGAATGTGTTTACCTGATCTCCCTCACCCATACCCCCCACTCCTGATTACCCTGGTGGGTGAAGAGTGAAATAAAAATTAGCATGTTTATCCCACTTTTAAATTCGTTTAATGAGGACTCATTTACCCTCTCCCAATTTAAATTCGTAATAACGCCATAACCTTTCAGAGCTGATTATTACCCGCATCTTCCCAGATCTTCCTGCTAAAGACACTTTTCCTCGGAAGGCTCCTGAGCCCTTCTGGAACTTGACAATTTGTCAGGCTGTCAACAACATCTGGTGATGCCACCTGACTGTGCCACCGGTGCTAGGTTCTCTCTCCACCGGGGGAGAAGTGAAAGGACCCGTCCGCGCGCGCGCGCGCGCGCGCGCGCACACACACGCGCGCGCGGGAGTTGATTTCAGTTTAGTGAATTTGTCTTCCTGTCTTTGGCTGTTTCACAGCCCGTGGCCCTCGCCTGAGTTACATGACCTTCCAGGGAGTCAGCCTTGAAGACTCACCAGGTTCTCTCCTCTCTCCTGTCTCCAGGGGTCGCTGCACTAACTCCAAGCCGGTGTGCGCGCCGGGGCTGGCGCGGGAGCTGGAGTCACCATGGCGGCCGGGGTGGCAGCCTGGCTGCCTTTTGCGAGAGCCGCGGCCATTGGCTGGATGCCGGTGGCCAACTGCCCCATGCCCCTCGCCCCTGCCGACAAGAACAAGCGGCAGGATGAGCTGATCGTCCTCAACGTGAGCGGGCGGCGCTTCCAGACGTGGCGGACCACCCTGGAGCGCTACCCGGACACCCTGCTGGGCAGCACGGAGAAGGAATTCTTCTTCAACGAGGACACCAAGGAGTACTTCTTCGACCGGGACCCCGAAGTGTTCCGCTGCGTCCTCAACTTCTACCGCACGGGGAAGCTGCACTATCCGCGCTACGAGTGCATCTCAGCCTACGACGACGAGCTGGCTTTCTACGGCATCTTGCCGGAGATCATCGGCGACTGTTGCTACGAGGAGTACAAGGACCGCAAGCGGGAGAACGCCGAGCGGCTCATGGACGACAACGACTCGGAGAACAACCAGGAGTCCATGCCCTCGCTCAGCTTCCGCCAGACCATGTGGCGGGCCTTCGAGAACCCCCACACCAGCACGCTGGCCCTGGTCTTCTACTACGTGACTGGCTTCTTCATTGCCGTGTCGGTCATCACCAACGTGGTGGAGACGGTGCCGTGCGGCACGGTGCCCGGGAGCAAGGAGCTGCCGTGCGGGGAGCGCTACTCCGTGGCCTTCTTTTGCCTGGACACTGCGTGCGTCATGATCTTCACCGTGGAGTACCTGCTGCGGCTTTTCGCGGCGCCCAGCCGCTACCGCTTCATCCGCAGCGTGATGAGCATCATCGACGTGGTGGCCATCATGCCCTACTACATCGGCCTGGTCATGACCAACAACGAGGACGTGTCGGGCGCCTTCGTCACGCTCCGGGTGTTCCGCGTCTTCAGGATCTTCAAGTTCTCGCGCCACTCCCAGGGCTTGCGGATTCTGGGCTACACGCTCAAGAGCTGTGCCTCTGAACTCGGCTTCCTCCTCTTCTCCCTCACCATGGCCATCATCATCTTTGCCACTGTGATGTTTTATGCCGAGAAGGGCTCCTCCGCCAGCAAGTTCACGAGCATCCCCGCCTCGTTCTGGTACACCATCGTCACCATGACCACGCTGGGGTAAGTCGCCGCCGCCCGGACGCGCGCGCGCTGTGGGTGGCGTGGGGATGGGCGGAGGAGACGCGAGCGAGGAAGCCGCCTGCTCTGCCGGGGGTCGACGCTTGAGTGGTTTATTTGGAAGTGGAAGCTTGCTCCAAATGAGCTTTCTTTTGGGGGCGGGTATGTATGTTATAAGCCGTGCGGAACTGCGCCGCCATTGCTTTGTTCAGCCGTGTCCTCGGGTTCTGTGTTTGTGTGTGCTGGAGGCAGGAGGAGGTACGGTTGCTGCATTCGTTTATAGTCTCGCATAGGTAGAAGGACTGCAGCGGGTGGGGAGGAAGAGGCTGCGCGAGGTTGTGCTGGCACGGGATGGAGGGTTCAGCGGCCCATTCACAGGAAACACCAAGAATACTCGTCTGTGCTCCTTCTCCGGCTTGTCTCTGTAGTATAGTTGTGGGTGGTTTTCTCCCTACTTTTCTGCTGCTACAGATGCCCCAGGTTCAGTAGCTCAGAGCTGACTTTCTTCAAGTGATTCTGAACTTGGGTTTTTCATGAAGCAGGGCACTCGATTTCTTATTTTCTCATTCGAAAGCAGGAGCAGTTTCGCCGTCCCAGCCTGACTCTGATTGAATGACCTGGCCCACCTGGCTGATTGTGAGATGGTCTGAGTGGATCTTGTGGTCAAACATGGAAGTGGCAGTGTTGTCAGAGGGAGGCAGATGCGTCGGGCAAGGTCACAGGGGACTCTACTGTCTCCGTCTCCCAGAGCTTCCGTCTCCAGCTGAGGGCACAGGAGGGCATCCCGCTGCTGGCCCGTGACACCTTCCGTCGGAGGACGGGGGCTCAGGAAGGAGATGGCAGGCTTCACCCTCACCAGCTTAGAGCCAGGAAGGCAGCTTTCTGGAGATGTGCATGTCTTAGGGTTTCCGTTTCAGCCCTTGCATGACGCTGACGCTATTGCGAAATCCCGTCATAATTCATCCGCTGGGTCTACATTTGCTTAGGCCAGAAAGCGTTCTATTGCTGACGGAGAATTCATGCAGCTTTTTATTTGGTCTTTGGCAATTCATTTGGTGGTGTCCTGGTGATTCCATTTTCTCCCTGGCCAACCCCGGTGGTGCAGGTGACCGTTTTCCCCGGTGGGGTGCGTGCTTATTGGGAGTGACCTCGCGGATGATGGGACGTTATAAAATGACGACATTTGTCATTCTGCCTCCAGGAGGAAGGTGTGAGGGGGAGATCGGGGCTGTCGCTGTCCATTTGCAAAGCCACACTTGTTGAAGGCGTTCCCTAACCTCTCATCTCTGCCAGAGACCACCCTGCCTCTGCCTACCACTCACACTCATATGCACACACACTCCAGATAACTGCGCCCACCCAAAATGGGTAACAAAGTATAACGTCTGGTCATCTGACCTTGTTTCTCAGGCCTTGACCTTGCTGGCTCAGGGGGCAGAGGTGGGGTTTGGGCGCAGTGGGATGCATGAAGCTAAAATAGCCCGGGGAGCTGGATGCTGTGCATATTAGCCCCATTCCAGGACCCTCTTGGCCACGCCTGACACGGCCTGACTGTCCAGTGCCCTCGGGTCCCCCTTGTTGGGACTCACACCAGCAGAAGGGTGCCTCAGGAAGGCCAGGGGAGCAAAGAGGGCAGCTGGATGGTCGCAAGAGTTAAAATGGGCTCATTTCAGAGATCAGTGAAACTTTGCAGCCACCTCCCACTGCTTTTTCTTTTTCATGTAGCATAGCATGTGGTGTGTTCTATGTGCTTAACACTTTGCACCTGTTACCTCTGTAAGCTCATGACTTAAAGATAGGGAAAATTCGATATGACTTTAAAGATGGAGAAGGTGGGCTTCAGAGAGGTCAGGTAAACTTCTGGAATCACATAGCTGATCAGGAGCAGAGCTGATTTCCAGATCCTAGGTCTGGCTGTCTGCATTCCCCTTTCCCTGTTTGCTCACCACTCCACTCCCCCCACACCATCAGGGCCCAAAGGGGGAAATCAGACTTTCAGAGTTACTATTTTTTTTTGTTATGGCCTCAGGGTATCATAGTCTATTCTAGTCATTTCACTGTTCAAGGGACACATCAGCGACATGAGGCCTGCATGCCAGGCACTGTACTAGGCGCACCGGGATTTTAGAAATCATTTCCATTTGCCTTTGAAGTGAATGGCTGCATTCTTAGCAAAACCCAGTATTTTATGTCCCAAGAGGAACCAGTGATTTCCCTTAGCATCCACCTTTCCGATCCAGGGGCAAGTTGAATGTAGGGGATGGATAATCTTAGCCTTCCGTGTACTTTTTAGTGGGAAGCAGAAGGCCTCTGCCAGAGAATGAAGGCAGAGAGGACACGCGTCTGAGATAAACACACTTCCCCTAACAGTGGACCCTGTGGCCTTCTGCCCTTCAAATAAGTAACAGAAGCAGGCCTTTCTGCATCCCACTCCAGCCCGTCACCCAGCACAGATTGGGAGACTTCCACCTGAGTTGGCCCTGGGAACCATGACCGGGTCACATCTTGACTGTTCACGGCAGGTGCGTGGTGGAAGGCCTGTATCAGGTGGTCTGTGAGGATGGCCCACGCTTTCATTTGCTTGGTCTAATGCAGTTTGCAGTCCTGTCTCAACCTGCCTGTCTGTCTCTAGAGTGGCCCCATGGTGTATGCTGTACCCCCGCCCAACCCTCTGAGAGAGAGGGGTGAGCAGTCCACCCTCTGCAGGTTGCTCTGCAGAATTGGGGGTTCTTCTTGCCTTTTCACCAGCCGGGCCCCGGGAATATCTTCTCTCCTCTCCTCTGGCTAGTTTCTCCACTGAACACACCCAGCTGCTCATGGGCTTACGAACCACTCTACAAAGCCTGTCTTTTTGCTTTTTCTTCACTGGCATTTGGGTCCCAAGGGACTGTGGAGTACTAAGACCCGACTCTTGCCATGTGCCATGTCCTGTCCTTTGCTTCCAAGAGCTCCCGGCAGACACGTCATCTCCAGATGACTTCCATGTCCAGACTCTGCCAGCCCTCATCCTCCTCTGACTTTCTGTTTCCAGCCTGGAGAGACTGCCTGGGCGCCTTGGCAGAGTAGGGCTGATGGACAGGTGGGGAGCGAGTGTGCTGAGGAGAGGACCCCTCTTCCTGGGTCGGCACCCGCTTTCCCGCGACTCCCTGATGACTCGCTGCACAGGTTTCCTCCAGGGACAGGCTCCTGGAGCCAATTGTTCTGTTTATTTACCATCTCAAAATACTTCAGATACACAAAAACAATAACAGCCCAGTTGCCCCCACCCCCCCCAACCCTGGGGCTGGCTCTCCTTTATACTGCCCGTGCTGCCTTGGGGACCCCGTCCGTGCAGTTTCCCTTGTGCCCCCCGCGACAGTCAGGCTCCCAAGTGAACCATTAAAGGATTAATTTCTGTGCTCATAATTGGTACTATAAATAAAGTAAATCCTCAATTATCTCAGTTAACAGAGGGAAGGGAATAACACAGAACTCCGGGTATCAAATAAGACCAACATATCGAGTTGGGCGTGTATCATATGCTGTAGACGTTTTCAAGGCAGATTTGTGTCCTTAGTTTTCTTGGACTTCGGTATTACTGTTGGCCTAGACCGCCTCTGAGCTGGGGCCAGGGCTGGCTTGTGGGGGAGGGGGGCCAGGAGAAGGCAGCATCTCCAGGCCTGATGCCTGAGGCGCCCAGGGAGGGGGCAGTTGAGCACCACAGGACAGGCAGGGCAGGAGCAGCCTGGCTGCAAAGATGATGACCCATGGCTGCCCGGTTGGCCTGGTTATGTAATTGAGACCGGCAGCCTATCCGTCACCCATGCCCTGAGATGAGAAAGCTTTTGACAGTGTCCAAAAATCACTTTAACAAAAACACAATCGATTTTTGCTTCTTCCAAGCACGAGCCCGAAGCAGCCTCCAGGTGATTTGCATTTCTCCTTAAAACATCCTGGAAGGGACCTGCCTGAGATTTCAGGAGCCAGGAGCCCAGCCCTCGAGATCAATATAGGCACCCACAACGGGCTACTTGCCCTGGCTCCCTTCTGAGCCAAACCAAAGGTGCAGTCAGTTCCAGGGCTGTTTGGTTAACCCTTCATTAAGCCTTCGTTTCCCGAAATTCTGGCTGCACCTTCGTCCACTTTCTGTCCTTGGATTCCGAGCTCCAGCGGCCACATTATCTTTCCACCTCCACACTCGCACAGCCTCAGGGCCCAGCAACCCTTCTCCCAGCTCCCAGGGGCCCTGGCCCTGGACACTGACCCCACAGCGCCTGTCTGGACGTGGGGTCCTTGCCCAGAGACCATGACGTAGCACACACACTGAGAATGAGTCACCTCGAGGTGCTTTCTTGCTTTGACACATTATGTATTAACCAGCTGTTCTGTGGTGCTGAAATTCCTGAATCCCAACAAGGAACTGTCAGCCATTCAGCATTTACTGAGTGCTGGCCGTGTACCAGGCAGCATGGCAGGCCCAGAGAATACGCACATTAGCCCCATGTAAAGTGCGGACAAAATGAATGGAAGGAAACTGTTCTCTGCCTCTGACCCAAAATGAGAAATGCTGGCGATCCACGGCTGGCCGAGGATCAGGAGGGAGGCTGCTCCGGAGACCTGCCCCTCCTCCAGGCAGCCGCCCGGCCAGCAGGAGGTGTCCCCTGGCCTCCCCCTGGCCTCCTGCAGCCCTTGCTAGAGCCCTGCCTTGTCATTTCCCCACCTGTTGCTTAGGTGCTGTTTAGGGGTCGTTAGGGGTCTCCCCGGAGGTGGGCCCTTCAAGGGCAGGGCTCTTCCCAAGCTCACTGTGTGGTAGCGGCCGGCTGCCATTTTCCCCCTTTGCTAACCAACTCCTGGCCATTGTGCGAACTAACAAATGTTATCGTGCCAGGCTGGCAATTTGAGGGCAGGGCAGAGAGGAGGGCTGGGCCAGACAGGGCGTCTCTCGTTCTGACCTCAGGGCTGGGCCTTTCTTGCGAGGGAAGCTTGAACTCTTGTCCGCTTCTGCTTTTGGCTATTTGGCTATG